GTCCCTAAACTATTTTAAAAAACACAACCAGAATTGTTTTTCTGGTGGGAGATATTTGGTTGTTTTCACATATGGAAAAAAATGCATTCATCACTATGGAAGATTCTCCCCTCAAGAAGCTTAGGTGGGAGGTTCCAAATTGCATTTGGGAGGTTCTAGGCTAAATAATATGAATAGAGTGAGAGCAGGGAAAGCTCAGGCAGTGCTTACTGTCAACACAGTAGAAATTGGAATTGTGTCTCATGGTGGGTTTTGGTCCTTTTAAGCCCAGGACCCAGTCCCCTTCTTCAACTTACTGCTAAAAAGGAGTAACTTCAGCATGTCTTGTCAGCTGTGGATGCTGGTGCAAGGGCATGCTCTGAGCAAGCAGCAATGGTGATACCAGCCAACCACCATCGTTCTGCCAATTTTTTTTATATGTTGGAGTCATGCTCCCTAAGAAAGCCTCCTGTTGTGTTCTGGGGTATTTTCTTGCTTTCCCTTGTAGGAGTTTTGGAACTTCAGGTGTTCAGCTACCATCAGCAGATACCCTGCTCTGGACTTATGAAAACACTGAGAGGCACCAGTGGACTGCCTTGAAGATGTTATTGTTGTGAATTCACGACATGTCACAGATGTCTCTTGCATGGCTTGCTGGTTCCTGGATGCCACACAAAGAATCTTGCTCAATCTATGGACAAACTATGAGGCAAAGAGCAAGAGAGTATTGTCAGTAAATTGTTGAACTTCATTGGGTTTACTTGGAGGGTAAGCACCATTGAGGTCAGCCTCTGCCAATAGGATCACTCAGGTAAAGCCCTTCAATGAAAAGCCCTTACATTACTTATTGTTTCTACTCATCCTAAAAGTGTTTGCCTTCTAAAAGTATGGTCTTTTGGCTTAGGCCTATGGGATTGTGGACAAAATTTTATATACTAGGAGACTTAATTTTCTCTTTGTATAGTTTTTTCTTCTCTCCATCAAGGCATATCAGGAATGATATACAGGACAACAGGTAAAATCTTAAACAGAATAAGTGCCTAAACCTTAATATTTGTATGGAGGCTCAGCTGAGGAAAATAACTGTTAGAAGCTTCATGATCACCAGGGATTCTGATAATGAAAGCACTGTGTAATGCACAGGAGCTTATAACTGGATGTGGCTATTGTTTAAATGGCTGTAGTGGGAAAGGGACCTTCTATGGGCAATTGTTTTTTAACTCCTTTTACTCTGGAATGTAGGAAAGAACCCTATTTCACAAATGAGTAAGGTAAAATCAGTCAAGTTAAGCCACTTTCTCAAAGACATGCCACTATGAAGTGACTTATCTGAGATTTGGTTCCAGGTATACTCAGCTCCAAATTTGTCCCAAGAAGATTTGGCTCACTTATAAGCACACAAAAGCATAGGGTATTCAGTAACTAGCGGGAAGAGGACTCTTAGTGGAGGTCAGTGACGAACTACAGGGCAGCTTGTGGGACACAGAAACCCTTCATCTTCCCCCGTCTGACTGCCCAGGTGATATGCAAACTTTCACTTTTATCTAGATGCCCCTGGGGAAGGAAAAGTTAGTGGAGGGGAGAAACAGCCCTGACAGAGTCTCAACTCTGACTTGAGAGGGTATTTACCCAGGAAGAAACTTCTTTAAATGAAAAGATACTGAGCTTATAGATAAGCTTTATGTTTTGAGTGGGATAGGTTAGAAGGTAAGATATATTCAGACAATAACTAGAGCTAGGTATTTCTTTTCTATGTATGAGTTACAGTGTATAAATTTCAACCTCACTATAAATGTTTGTTATATGTGCTTTTCAAGCAGCTAGAAACTATATTTATTCTGCTTGAGTAATATATTTTGACAATAATAATTTCTCTTATGAACCTAAGACTCATATTTCCATCTGCCTCCTCTACATAGTCTGCTGGAACTTACCATATATCTGAAATTCAACATGTCACACAGGGAAGTTATTACTTCTGCCTGAACTGGTCTTTTTCCTTGTAGGCGTTATCTTGATAAGTGGCATTTAGGTAGGTTTGAAATACTGGTTCTATTCTCTTCTAACTGTCCATCCTCTCCCTCAACCAGAACATTTACTCCTAAGCATATATGTATATACACACACAGACATATTGACTTATGCAATTGGGAGGGGGTTTCTGGCAAGTCTGAAATTTGTAGAGCCGGCTGGCAGGCTGAAAACTCTTGGGCAGGGTCTGATGCTTGCCGTCTTGAGGCAGAATTTCTTTTTCCTCAGGGAAATTACAGTTTTGTTCTTAAGGCCTTTATGATCTTTTAACTGATTGGGTGAAGCCCACCTCATTATGCTCATTATTGAGATAATCTCCTTTACCTGAAGTCGACTGACTGTAGATGTTTGCCACATCTAAATACCTCTACAGCAAGGCTAGGGGAGTTCTGTTCAGTAACTAGTACTGGATACTGTTAGTCTAGCCAAACTGAGACATAAAAGTAACCATTGTACACATGCAATTTCTCAACAATTTTCTGAGCATTTCAGTAAACACTTACCAACAACTTCCTGAGTTATTAGTTAATTTATTAGTTCCAGATGTTTGCTGCTGTGGATACATGAAAAGTAAGATATATTTTCTGTCCTTGAAGGAATCACAGCTGAGACTAGAAATTGACATCTAATCAAATACATTATAATCACTGTAGTGTGAACAAAGGGGTAGGACACTGGAGAGGAGATAGTGACAATGCCTTGTGGGGAGTTTACAAAAGAGAGATTTCAGTCAAAGCACCTCTAAATCTACTCTTTCGAAATATTGTCACCACTGTACCGCAAACTCTCTTCAGCATGAGCTGGAACGTTGCCACATCCTCCTACCTCCTCTTCCCACTGGTACTCCTGCCTCTAGCTTGCCACCAGAATTACTGTGCTCTTATATATCTGATTAGGTCTCTGTCTTGGTTAAAATGCAATGGCTCCTCATTGCATCGAGAGTCCAAATTCCTTAGCATAGTGTAAATAGTTTAGGACTAGATGGCTACAATCTATTCTTTCCAGATTTATTCAACATTTCCTTTCTCTCAAACATAAATACTCCATTCCCCAGCCACAACAGCAGCTTGGCATTCTCTGAACCTACATTTCTTTTTCTTCTTCTTCCTTTTTTTTCCCCACATCCAAACATTTCACACACAATTCCCTTTCTTGGAAATGCCCCCATTCCCACTTTATCTAGCAAGATTTTATTTATTCTTCTAGACTCAACATAAATATCTCCTCTTCTCTGAGGGATTCTTCATTTCTGAGTGCAGTTAGTTGCTCTTCCCTTTGTACTTTTACTGTTATAATTCATATTTGGATTGTTTGTCTTCCTCTCTTACTAAACTGTGAGCTCCATAGTGGCAAGACCTATATTATTAATTTTGCATCATCCTCTCTCTTATAGCTAGCATCAAACCTGGAACATGTTAGATATTTAATATATATTTGTTGACCAAAAATTGCACATTTTTCTAAACTAGTGCCTCAATGTTTCTCCAAGTTAATGTGAACGTTAAAAATAAAGCCTGTTTAGAATCATTCTAGATAATTAGGTATTATTTCTTGCCTATTAGGTTGAGGCTGCACTCAAGTTGTGAAGATCTGAGTTCAAGTTTTTACTTTATCACTTACTATGTAAAATTGATCAAGCTAGTTCATTGCTCTGCATTTTGTTTCCTCAAATAGTATCTGCTCCATACTATTAAGAGAATGAAATTAAATCACATGAAAGCTCTGTAAATGGATGCCCTACATAAACGTCACTGCTGCTTATGAAGCTGCTTCCTATGAAGTTATCTTGTGGACTCTGCATCCATGGAAGATAACTTATTCCATTATCAAATGATTTTTATATCAATATCAGGGAAATTTTTTCTTCTCTCTTTATCTTGGTCTGAAGAGTAGAAGAAATTACATTCCGCCTTTAGTAAGAGACTTAGGAAAACATGTACATTTCTTTCTTGTTTGGGTTTGTTGAATCAAGACCAGGGGACATAAAACCCTAGTGGTTTCCTATTTGGTATCTTATTACATTTATCATCTTTTTCTTTTTATCACTGTGTGTATGAAGTTGGTTTAAAGGGCAATAAGGATTGCTTTGTACATTAGGGACAAACGTGAAGTTTTATTTCTTAAGTGCACATGATTCCATGCCTTAAAACATTTAATGAGTTTCTATTTAGCATGTGAAATACAGAATAAAAAGAATATATGATACCTATTCATGAAGAGCTTGTAGGGAACTGGTGCCCTGAAACGTTGTAATGTGAGAGCAACAGTGTACCTATCAAGAAATGCCAAGATGAAATCTTTAATCTTATGGATAAATTCATTTAAATGGCAAAATTCATAAAACATATTGATACTCATACTATCTGAGGTCTCTTCACACAGGAAAATATATTAATGTTAACCTATCACAAATTTAAAGGAAATTAATATAACTGTGATTCTCAAAATAAGTTATATCTACAAAAATAAATTGATCCTACCAGAAATTCTGGTTTCTAGCTACAAGCTTTATGGCAAATATTTTTCGTTGCTGTTTCATTGTTGCCTGATCCTTTTTTTTTTAATTGAGATTTAATTGACATATAACATTATTAGTTTTCAGGCATACAACACATGATTCAATATTTGTGTATATTGCGATATTACCTGATCTAAACACAACATATGCTTTTATCATTCTCAAAGAAAATCTGAGATTAATCAATACAAATGTGTATTCCTGAAGTTATAAAATCAATGAATCTTAAAGTACCAGGTAGAACTGTTTGTCTTTTCAAACAATTCATGTCTTAAGTGACTATTTCAAATGTATTGTTTACAATCTGCCTTTGGATTTTATACTTTGTGAAGCAGGAGAATACTACATAGTAGTTCATCTAAAGGATGTCTGTCTTGATTTTGCTGCACACCTGTTAGTAATTCCTGGCTCCTTTGGAAATGCCAACACACACCTTTCCAAACAAACTTCTGGATCTTCCTACTGTAAGTAAGTATTTTTTTTTTCTTTTCTTTAATTAAGTCACTGTAATGCTGTGCTGAAGAGTATGCGCTTTGAGCCAACCATTCCTGCCTCAGTCACTTTACTTTCGAAAGCCAAGAAAATAGGTAAGTTTTTTATTTTTTTCCCGAGTTGATTTGCTCAGAGTTGTCATGCAGATCAAATGAGCCAATGTATGTAAAGCAGTTTGTGGATGCTGAGCATGGAGTGGCACAAACACAGTTATCAGTTATGCCTCTCTTCATTTATAGCTAACTGGAAAATCTGAATAGTTTGTTCTGTACCGAAACCAAATGGAGAGAATCCTGGGCAGAGTATTTATGGGTGAACATTTAATTTTATGTTTTCAGTTTTATAAAGAAACTCTTGCCTCTGTCTTGGAAAAAATGAAATAATCTGAAATCTGATGTCAAAATAGAACAATTTGTGATCATTGAATGACACTGAATATTAGAGCTGGATTGATCTAGGACAATATTTTTTCTTTAAAAATAAGGCATCTGAGACCTAGAGGGGCAAAACAACTTTTGCATAGCTGGTTATATACTAAGGGGTAGCAAGGTAGGAAAATCTACTTTGGCTCCTTCTTGGAAAGAAACATGGCTCACAACTTTTTTCCTCTTTAACCTATTCATGCAGCAGGTTTATCTAATAGAGGAAACTATATTTTTCAAATGTGTTGGTATCTATACAATATTTAAAGTAAGGCTCATAAGGGTGAATAAAATATTTTACAGAACAGAACTCCACTGCTAATTTGTTTTCATTCTTTATTTTCTAATAAAATGGAGATGTATCAGATTGGATGAGTTTATTTGTAACTAGCTGACTCTGATTAATTTATATGGTACCCATTTTAAGCCCTCCCACTTTCTGCTCTCTGAGGGCTTAGTGTGAGGATCGGAGGCTGGCATTAAAGTCAGAGCAGATGTGCATTCACTTCCTCCTCTCTAGCTTGGCTCAAGCTGTTGGTGTAATCACTAGTCAACTCTAACACTCAATTTTTGGATCACTGCCTTAAAAAATAATAACGTTCTGAATGAGACTCTGGTTCAGAAATCTTGCCCCAGATAGAATGATCCTTCTTGTATTTGCTTGACTGGAAATTCTGGAAGGAGCAGATAGGTTGGGCCGGCATGTAGTTAATATATTTCTTCTTCTTTGTGTGGAATTGTGAGTGCAGGCTCCGTAAGGAAGTATCCTTACTGGTGACAAACACCTTGCACATAACATTTGTTCCATGGGTCCAACCCTGACTTCATTTTCTTTTCTGGGGGTATAATACCATTTCTTTTTTTTTTATAAAGCTTTTTTTTTTAATAAAGATTTTATTTATTCGACAGAGAGAGACACAGCAAGAGAGGGAACACAAGCAGGGGGAGTGGGAGAGGGAGAAGCAGGCTTCCCGTGGAGCAGGGAGCCTGATGCGGGGCTCGATTGCAGGACCCTGGGATCATGACCTGAGCCGAAGGCAGACGCTTAACGACTGACCCACCCGGCGCCCCTATAATACCATTTCTTAACAGGGGTGGCTATTCATTGTGTATGTTCTTCTTCTTCTTCTTTTTTTTTTTTTCTGGGTCTCCCAGGCAAGTTTAGCAAGCAGCAAATGCTAAAATAGGTTTTCCCGAAGTTTAAACATGCTAATGGTTCACAGCATCTTAACTTGGTGGAGCAATGTTTTCATTCTAGCTGAACAGATTCTGAAGAGTCTTCTTACAGTTTTTAGTTTGATTTCTCTGTTGTCATTATGTTTTAAGAGAGGAAGGGATGCAGATTCAACAGCAAAAACTGTAGATGGTACTCTGGAGGAGCCACAGGAAGTCATATAAAAGTCAAAATGCTGAGTTGTAAACCTGATTAAGTCTATTTGAAGTAGGGATAGAATAAATCTAAATTCATTCTAAATTTCTAAATTTAGTCGTTTTAATTTATGAAGTGAAATCTTGGCACTTTAACATTGGAAGGTGGTTCAAATAATCTAGAAATTGATGAAAGGATCACTCATTTGAGCTATTTATGGAATAACAATTGTCAAATTTTTTGAGAGAAAGATGCCCTAGGATTTTTTTTTTACAATGTTCTATCCTAGTACGAACTAGCTTCTTTCCATCTTGATGAAGTGCCTCCAACCTTTTACTGGGTTTCTTCTGTAGCAGGAACTCTGGATCTGAAATGAGATCAGATTTTTAAGTTGCCACTAAGTGAAGATCATTTAGCATTTTCATTCTTCTAAGAGCTCATCGAGTAATTGCCCTCTAATAGCAGGCAAGCAGGATAAGGCATCATGAAGCTAATGAAAATTTAAAGTGGTCTCCATTTTCCATTGGCTTCAGAAAAGCTTATCAGGGCAACGACATACCCCACAGAAAATGACACACCTCTTAAAAGACATGCAGAAAGCAAGATAAGTCTTCTGGTTCCCCAAAGCATAGCAGTGGCTTAACTTGACAAATTCAAAGACAAAAAGTCAGAAACTAAGACCCCTATAACTGAAAAGAACTGAGCTTGTCTATAGCCAGGCATCTGCACAAAGATGTCTATGAAACTTTCACTTAAAGCTATCTCCTTTTAGGTACTGTATCAAGCCTACATATTTCTGTGAATCTGTCCCAGATGATTTTTCTTAACTCTAACTTCTAGTCCTAAAAAATACTTAAGTTGTATTAATGACGGAAGAGCAGTTTTTTTGGTTTGGATTTACCCAAAATCAGACTCTGAAACAGGGGAATAACTACATATATTTTATTTGGGAGGTGATCCCAGAAAGCATGAGAGAAGCTGTGGGGAAATTGAGAGAGAAAAATGGGAAAGCCAATGAAATGAGCATGAGTGAGTGGACTACCAGTGTGGACAGTTGGGGTTTGGTTCCTCTGGGGATCTTCTGAGAAACCATGTAGAATGTACTTCAGTATTGTATCACCAATGGGAGAGGAAACTGGGTAATTTATCCACCAACTCTCATTCCCCATTGGTGTAGTGTTACCTGACATCTTGGGCTACCTACATATAAGTTGAACCAGCTCCCGTGGCTCTAGTAAAAGCCCTCAGACAGAGAAACAGAATCGCACTTGAGAGCGCCACCTTCATGACTTAATCACCTCCAAAGGGCCCCATCTCCAAACACCATCACATTGGGGTTTAGGTTTCAACATAAGAATTTCTTTGTTGGGGGGGCATAAACATTCTATAGCATTCTGCCCCTGGGCCCCCCAAACTTGTGACCTCACATACAAAATACATTTATTTCACCCCCAAACTCCAAAAGTCTTAACATGTTCCAGTATCAACTCTAAAGTCTAAAGTCCAAAATCTTACTTAAATATCATCTAAATCAGATATGGGGAAGACTCAGATATGACTTGTGATATGATTTATCTTGAGGAAAAATTCCTCTCCAGCTATGAACTTTTGAAACCACACAAGTTAGATGCTTCCAAAATACATTCGTGGGACAGACATTCCCATTCCAAAAGGCAGAAGTAGGAAAGAAGTGTTAAATTCATTTTAAAAGGGGGCTATTACACTGGGGTGGCTTTAATGCCTTAGTAGCTTACATAAGCAAACCAAAACCTAAACCTGTAATGCCTCATGGTTCAGAAATCGCAACCTAAAGACAACCAATCTCAAGCAGCCCAACTAGGCTTTACTAAAAAAGGCAACTTCTTAAGCTATAGCCAATCAAATAATTTTCTTGTTTTGCTTGTTTCCAAACTTCTCTATACAAGGTTTTCCTCTAGCCCCCATTGGCGGAGCAATCCTAACTACTTCCAGTTTAGTGCTGCTGACTTCAAACTGGTTTTTGTTCAAACAAACTCTTTAAATTTTAATATGTCTCAGCATATCTTTCAACAGAAGAAAGGAATGACAGGTCCCAAGCAAGTCCAAAACTTAATGGGACAAATTTCATTTGACCATAAGGCTCAAGAAGAATTCTCTTTGACTCAGTGTTTTGCTTTTCAGACCCACAGGGGTTGGCAATGTCCCTCCCACATCTTGATGGCCCCACTCATGCCAAGGATCTCTGCTGGGATCCAGTGGTTCTGCCAGGTAGAACTGTCCTTAGAAACCTGGGTGAAGGCATCATTGATTCCTCAAAGCTATCAAGTCCCAAGATGAGTTAATTATCTTTATTCTCAAACATGCCTTCTTTTGTGTTTCCTATCTGAAAGAGTAACACCATCCAGTTACCAAAAATAGAGTCATAATGAATTTTTTCCTCTTGTCATTTTCCACATTCCAGGTCACAAATTCTATAAATTTCATCTCAGTGGAGTTGGTATTCCTCACTAGTACATTTCTTATTTCTTTAGTGATGGGAATGACATTTAGGCCTTCCCAGGGTACATAGCTGGTGGCCTTCTGATTTCATTCTGACTTACTCACCCCTCTGTTCCTTCTGATCTTTTCCTCATTACTTTGTCAAGGCAGTTCTGCATCTCAGTCTTGATGACATCAGGCCATTATGTCCAAGCTTTAGGGTCATCATAATATCAAGAGAGAATACTACTATACCAATAAACTTTCACCTCCCCAGTCCAAAACCCTAACTATTCACACCCATGTCCCCATTTCTTGCTAGTATGTATTTGCCAGATGCTGCAGCTTTTTTGGTGGATAAGTTCTTTCTTTCTTTTTTTTTTTTTTTAAGATTTTTAAATTATTTATTTATTTGACACAGAGAGAGAAAGAGAGCAAGCAGGGGGAGCAGGAGAGGGAGAAGCAGGCTCCCCGCTGAGCAGGGAGCCTGATGCAGAGCTCGATCCCAGGACCCTGTGATCATGACCTGAGCCAAAGGCAGCTGTTTAACCGACTGAGCCACCCAGGCACCCCTGGGTAAGCTATTTCTTCACATAAGACTATACTTGTCTGATCAGGACAAGTACTATGAGTACTATGAGATAGTACTTATCTCATAGAATTATTTTGAGGATTAAATGAAATAAGGCTGGGAACAGCCAGAACAAAAGCCCTGCAGTAGGGAGTATGCTCAGTTTGGTCAGGGTATAGCAGGGAGATCAGTGGCTGAAGCAGAGTGAAAAAGGAGGAATGTAAAGTAGATGAATTAACAGCAGTAGCAAGGTGCCATACCATGCAGAGCATATTG